TTCTTCTTCTTATCGCGGCCGTGACCAATCTGGGGTGTGGCCGAGACATGTCGGCCGTGGCCAATATGGGGTGTGGCCGAGACATCTCGGCCATGGCCCAATTTGGGGTGTGGCAGAGACATCTCGGCCATGGCCCAACTATGGGGCCTTGCAGAGACATCTCGGTCATGGCCCAAAAAAAAAAAGAAGTGTGCTACAACCGCCCTTTTCAAACTCGGGGCCTGATGTTACCGTCTTCTGATGTTATGACTGCCTTTTCGAACTGCGGCCATTTTTCCGTTGCCCTTTAGTGTTTTTTTTGCCTTTACAGTTTGAAAGTGTGCTACTACCGCACTTGTTTCTTTTTTTTTTGTTCAGAGTTCATGCCTCTTGAGTCTTGAACGGTTGCCACCCACACCTTTTCTCTGGGGTTTCCTGTTTTGCCCAAAGTAATGCACCACATTGCATCTTTCCTTCCAAATTACTCATAGGCCCATTTTACGGTCAAATTTCGGATCATACGGTACCACAGTCTTTCGGGCTTTATGTAATTGAGAGGGAATGTTAGGCCAAAGTTAGAATCTGATCTGTTCAGGTTGTTAAGGAAAGGATGTGGAAAAGACGTGAGACCGTAAGTGGCTTGCACGAGCCCAGTGCTCTGTTGCTTCTTCACGAACAATGAGGCAGTGAGAGAGACCTTTCGCTGCATCTCCAAACTGGCATGGCCTGTTTATGTAATTGTATCCCTGATTAAATGTTATTTCCACGGCTTACCTCCCCCCACCCCACCCCAGGCCCCTTCTCTCAAATCATGGCAGATTCTTAGACCTGGCCTGTGCTCATCACTTAGCTTCACAAGCACCTTGAAGTTCTTTCATGCAGGTAAACAATAGGGCCGGACCCCTTCTGGAGGTGAGGTCGACAACAATCATACTTGCTACCTTTGGTTGAGTGTGACTGCTGTAGCATGCTGAGGCCGCTACAGGGGTCCTGTTTTGGGGCCCGATCGTTGTTCCAGGCCCCCAGGCCGCACACCCATTTTTGGTGAGCTACCTGGAGGCCCACGGCCATATTCCAGGCCAGGCCCCCGGCATTTATTATTTATGCTGCGTGATTCAGTTTCGGCCATTGTAGGCCAGGTTCAGATTTGTCCGTATGTGGGACTGGACCAGGCATTTGTCTGTTTGTGCCTGGCCCAGTCCTCAGGACCCTGCTGCATTAGCAGGAGTGCCTGGACGTCCGGTAGGGACCCAGGCAGGCCGTTTTTGGCCAGGATCGTAGGACCAGGACTTGCGCCTGTGATCAGGACCATCGATCGGACATCAGATCCGACGGTCGTGATCACAGACCGAGGACTGCTCAGCCAGGCCCAGTGGTATATAGCTGGGCCAGTCCTCCACTTTGAGGACATTCGGGCTGGAGCCTCCTTTGGGCATCACGCTGCTGGAGCAGCGC